CGCTGCTGGACACGAAAAAAAAAAAAAAAAAAGAAAAGTTGCCCCAAGCAAAGACTGACTCCATTCCTACCTCATGCTAACAGCCACCCACATTTTGTCTGGAGGCTTGGGGACTTGGTAGCTTGTCCCAAGGCTGGCTTGCTCATCAGGAGCCAAGCCTTAAAAATGTAGCACACTTTGACCCAGTTATTCTGTACCTAGGAATTTCTCCTATGGGAATAATCACAATGTGTCAATTCAGCCTCAAGGATGTTCATCTTATTATTGAGTATAATAGTGAAAAAATAATCAACCTAAAAGTCCTAGTATTTGGAGATTGGTTACATGAATGATGTGTGTCCATACAGTGGAGTATCAGCCATTAAAGATGATGGTGAGGGTGAATTGACCCAGAGAAAATCCTGGGCAGGGCTATGCCAGGATATTGTGTTGGGTGATGGGTTATTTTAAAATATTGTTCTTCGTGATTGTCTGTAGTTCTTAAATGTTTTACAACGAACATGTATTATTTTGGTAACAAGAAAAAGATTCTATGGGCAGTAGAATTAAGGGTGTTTGAACAGCAGCTGTGATTAGGGTCTACAGGTGTAGACATTTCCCAGACAGAGGTGACTGAGGGATTTATTCCAAATTCCCATCCTTGCATACACCTCACTCTCAGCATTCACTGAACGTTGTGGGGTACATGAGCATCCCCAAGAGGTAACAGAGAAAGGAGGTGAACTTATTGGGCATTTACTGAGTGGCAGGCCCTGTACCAGGAGCTATCACGTAGGCCATCTCATTTGGCATCTTGCCTTTAGGGGCACCACCATTTCCTCACTGAATCCTTGTAACGTCTCTGTGACTCAGAGAGGGTGATGTCAGCCCTGAGGTCACACAGCAAGCTTTTCCCCAGGTGCTCATTCATTCTGCCAGACCATATATGCTTGCTGGGTTAAGGATGGTTCCAAAGAAGCTGAGAAAAGGCTGGGGGGAACATAACTGCTAAGGAATGGTCAGTCCACCTCCAGTAACTAATCACCTACTGTGTGCCAGGCAGGCTGTAAATGGGGAACAGAAATGCTGGAGTGCCCGATCATGACAGGTACATCAGATAAGTTGCAGAGTCCCAGAGACTGTGGCTGTGTTGTGACCCAGCACCTGGCACATCGTAGGTGCTCAGTAAATATTTTTGAGTAAATAACTTATGTGTCACTCTTCACCTGGTACAGTTGATGAGTTGTCCAGGTAGGCAGCAAGAAGTTCAAGAAGGGGAAGGAGAGATCACCATGGGTCGCAATGGCTTTGGGTGAGCAGGATGGATAGGAAGGGGGAACAGCACAAGTGAAGCCACAGAGGTCAGGAATGTGTAAGACTGGTGTGGGGTCTGATGTGTAGTTCATCACACAGAGGGCTTGTTTGGGGCAGGGGTGGGAGATGGGATTGGACAGGAAATTTGGTGCTTGATTACATTGGGCCTTGGGTTTCAGCAGGAGGACAATAGGGAGCCCTTGAGGGTTTTTGAGCAGGAGATGAATGATCTAAAGCACATTCCAGCAGAATATGCCTCCTCACCCCAAGTGGAACATAAGGAGTGAAGATGCTCCCTGTTGGTCTTTCCAGTATCAGGGTCAAGGTCGCTCTCACTCCCTAACCTGCACCTCCATATTCCTCATTACAAGGTGGTGACCAGGAACATCATTCAAAGCTCAGGCCACCAAAGCCATTTGAATCTGTGCCAATGGCCCATCCATGGGATTGGACTTTTGGCTTTGCCTTGAGTGCTCCAGCTTCTCCCCAGGCAATAAAGCACAGGCCTAAGTGGCAGCCAGTTCGATGGTTACATCACAGAGAATGGGCATTTAATTTGCCCAGTGGACGAGTTAAGGAAGACAGCAGTCCAGTTGTTTAATGGAGATTTATGGGCACTCACCGTGTGCCAGGCCCTGTGGCCAGTTCTTGGTAATCAGCACCCTCGCTCTCTGCTGCCCTCCCCCTCACCTCCAGGGCCCAGACTGAAGGCAAAGACCAACAGATAACTGGTCAGGTAGTGACAGACCGAGGGTCTATGCTGCCTGGGGTGCAGTGGTTACAGTTTGGACTTGGCAATCCAAGACCACCGCCTGGGTTTGAGTTCTACTTCGTTTACTGACTAATTGATCTGAGGCATGTCACTTCGCCTCTCTAAGCCTCAATTTCCTCATCTATAAAATGGGGGTTGTTATAAGATCCACCTCCCATGATTGCGGGTCTGTGGTTCAGCGAGGTGATCTCATGTCTGTAGCTTAGTCTGACGCCTGGCACAAGTTTAGCACTGAAAATCCTGCACCCTGTGATTTCTTGGGCAAACTGGGACAGTTGGTCACCCTAGTGCCTAACCAAGACATCTGGACGCACCTCTGAGGGCAGTAGGGAGCCAAGACGGGTTGGAGCTTGGGACAGTGTGGTGTGATTTGTGTCAGCGGGGACAGGGATTTTGAGTGTTTCCCCTGATAGACATCTCCTGTTCTTGCAGGACCAGCTGAAGCAGTGTTTTTCCAGGCGGCCGCCTGAGGCCAAGGACACTGACACCCTCGTGCATGAAGCCGACAGTCAGTATGGGACGTGGACAGACCAGCACCAGAGCAGAGAAAGGTAGGACGTGCATGCAGGTTCCCAGCTGCAGGGAGGGGGTTGGGGCTACCCTCGTGCATGAAGCCGACAGTCAGTATGGGACGTGGACAGACCAGCACCAGAGCAGAGAGAGGTAGGACGTGCATGCAGGTTCCCAGCTGCAGGGAGGGGGTTGGGGCCGGAGTTGAAGCAGCCCCCCTGCCTCCTGATTTCTATATCATTAGAACCTCTTTTGTCTGTAATGTAAGAGTAAAACTGTTCTTGTTGTAACAAAGAAATTTAGAAGTTACAAATATATTATAAAAATTATAAATTTAGAAAACATAAAAAAATTATATAAAATATCCAAGAGAGGCAAACTTACAGAGACAGAAAGCAGATTACAGGCTAGGTGTGAAGGGGAACAGGAGTGACTGCTTAATGGGTATGGGATTCCTTTTGCAGTCGTGTAAGTGTTCTAGAATTACACACGGTGATGGTTGTGTGACATTATGAATGTACTGTGTCACCAATGGTAAGCTTTATGCTATGTGTATTTTACAACAATAAAAAAAATCATGAAAAGAAAATGAAAACCACCTACAATCCCAACACAGACATAAATTTTATTAACTTTTTTTATTGTCTTTCTACATGTTTTTCAGTATATCTGTGTGTTTACAAATGTAGGAACATATTATACATATTGCTTTATGAGCTGTGTCTGCATTTACTATCTTCACTGTTAGTGGCTTGTGGGAGCCTCAGACGTCAGCCTGGTTAGGAGGGAATGTTACTGATATGGCAAGAGCCTAGAGGTCACCAAGCATGACCTGGATTCGGGAGACAGGCAGGTATGAATCCTGCCTCCACCCCGACTGCCTGTGGGACCCTGGGTAAATTAGGTATATTTTCAGACTATACTTTCCTCCCCTGTAGAAGGGGAATGATGCTTATAAAAAAATAGCTGAGGTTTATTGAGCACATGTGCCAAGTACTGTTGTAAGCACAGAAGTGCGTGAACACGTTTCATCCTGTTAGTCCACCTTGCAGAAGAGAAAACTGAGGCACCCTGCCACATGGGGTTGTTGCGAGGGTAACCTGTGTGGCACGTAGTTCTTGGCACGTAGTAGGAACTTTACATATTGTATCTGTTAATTGTTTTAGAAATACAATTTTTCTTCTCCCTCTTGGGCTGGATTGAGCACAGGAGAAGTTTCATGGACTCCTGCGGTGGACTCTGCTGTTTTCACTTCATGCCTAAAGGCAAGGGCTTTTGAAGTCAGAGGGACCTGGGTCCAACTCCCAACTGATGAGCTCTTTCAATCTGTGACTCAGTTTCCACATCTGTAGGCATTATGCCCAGTCTAGGAAATTGAGGCTCAGAGAGAGGTAAGGACCTGCCCTGGAGTAGTGTGTTTGTGGCAGAGTTGGACTCGAACCCAGATCTTCCGTCGCCCCACCCCCACCCCACT